AATATATATATATATATGGCTTCTACTGTGCTGCCTTTCCTGCAGAGACGCCGAGAGCAGCTATTAGACAACAATAACTAAGCAAAGACAACAAACCCAAAACCCTAAACCCTAGGAACAAAAAGGGACATGAATAGCAGCCGTACCCCACAGAAGGAAGATGACACCCGTTAGGGTTTTGTTTATAACTGACAACACCTCGTCAGTAAACCGCTCCCAACCCTACGCGCATCAAAAAGGAGGGTTTACGGTTTAGGATTTGCAGGTACAACCTGAAGGGATAACACCCCTGCGCCGGGGCTGAGGCCTCGACTTTACACCTAAAGACTACTGCGTCGCTGCTGTGTGCTGGGCTCTTAGGGTTTAGGGTTTACGGCATCTTTATGAGCCATTGGAGAGTCTCTGCGAACAGTTAAAATTGCATTTAAAAGTAAAACCCCTTGTGATGCCCAATTGCTTATATCCCCATGAGGTAGAGGCAGAGAAGAAGGACCGGGGATAGAGCTGTCTGTACACCACAAAAGACACAAAGAGACGAAGTACACTTGGGAAAGCAGCAGCAAAAGACAGCAGCAGCAGCAGAAAGAAGACAAACCTATTTCTTTAAATATATTAATTAGACTTGGAGGGGGACGAACGCCACGGGGAACAGAAAAACACAAACCCTAAAAAAAAAATAAAAAATAAAAAAGCAACTAAAAGTAATTAAAATTAATTAATATTTATAACGTAAAAAACGAAACAAATAAAACAGAACAAAAAGGCAGTAAGAGAGATGCACACGGTTTAGGGTTTCGGGTTTAGGGTTTATGGCTTGCCATAGCCTGGCCGGGTTGGTGGTAAGGGTCTTGTCCCACAATCACAACTCGAACCTTGTCTAGCCTGCAGCAGTTGCAGCATCTACTTAGGGTTTAGGGTTCAGGGTCTATCTAGGGTTTGGGGTTTAGAGTCTATTCAGTGTTTAGGGTTTAGGGTTTACGGGTTAGCTTTAAATGCAGTAATTACAAGTTTTTCAGCGGGATAAATATCACTAGGGTTTAGGTTTTGTGCCTTAGGGTTTACGGGGTCGCTTTAAATGCATTAAAAACAAGTTCTTCAGGGGGATAAATGGCATTAGGTTGTTTAATTCTCTCTTTTGCAACAAACGATAAACATTGCCTAAAGTAGGGCTGCTGCAACTCTGCATGCAAAGCGTTATACCTATACACAACACATTCAACACATGCAAACCTGTTGCTGCTGTTGCTGCCGCTGCTGCTGCTAGTGCTGCTGCTCCTCCTGCTCCTGCTCCTGCTCCTGAGGGTTCAGGGCATACGCCCTTGAGCCATTAGGGACAGCTGTCCATAGTCTATGCCACATGGTTTAGGGTTTCGGGTTTAGGCCTTCAGGTTTAGGGTTTACCAGCCGTCTCCTAAGGTGTCTCTCCACATCTTCTCTGCTGCTTCTGGCGGCACAAGTTCTCCCCTTGGAGACACTGCTGCAGCAGCAGAAGGAACAGCAGTAATGCATGTTGCTGCTCCTGCTGCTCCCCCAGTTGGTCCACTCACTGCAGTAGCTGCTGCTGCTGCTGGCGGTAAGTGAGTTGCTGCTGCTTTCGCTGATGTTGCTGCCGCTGCTGCTCTTGCTGCTGTTGCTGATGCTGTGCACGCAGGAGGCATTGCGCCTGTAGGAATGGACTGCTGCTGCTCCTGCTGCTGGTGCTTCGCCTGCTGCTGCTCCTGCTGCTGCTCCCCTTCAGGTTTCTGTTGCTTCTCCTGCTCTCCGTCTGCTTGTTCCAATTGTTCCTCTTGCTGCTGCTGCTGCACCGTCGCCTCCTGCTGCACCTCCACCTCCTCCTCTTGGTGTTGCTGCTGTGCACATTTGGCTGTCTGCGTGGTGGGTTTATGGTTTTCTGTGTCGCTGCTGTCGTTTATAACTATCGCAACAGCAGCAGCAGCAGGTTTATCATTTTTTATTCTTTTTTCTTCTTTTGCTTCCTCACTGACAGAAAAGAAATCTTTTATTGTTGCCTGCCGCTTCCTTGACATTTTACAGCAGCAGCAGAAGCACCAGCACACATACAACAGAAGAAGACACAGGCAAACACGCCAGCAGCAGCAAGGCCTACTACTGCATACCCTGTGCAGAAGCAGCAACAACAACAGCAGCAGCAGCAGTTAGTTCTCCGTTTGCTGCTGCATAAGGGGGATCTGCTGCTAAGTCTTCTTCTTCTTCTTCTTCTTCTGCTTCTGCTGCTGCTCCTCCTTCAGAAGCCACAGCTCGTCTTGTGCTGTTGCTGCTCTCCCAGCAGCAAAATGCATCTATGCTGCTGTTGCTGCTGCACCGCGAACTGCTCAGCCCCTAAGACAGCAGACACTGCTGCAGCAGCATTGAAAGAATTAATCAAATAATTTGAAATAAAATAGTTAAATAAAAACAATCAAAAAGACGGCAATAGAAGAAGACGGCAGCAAACAAATTGCCTACAGACTATCGACCAACTGCAGCAGCAGCGGCAAACAGCAGCAAACAGCAGCAGCAGCAGCAAGAACGGAAGAAATGATACATATATCGATTAATTTATTAATCAATTCTAAACATTCTTTTATTTATACTTATTTATTTAAACAAGCAAAAGCAAACACAGCATCTACACACATAGCGGGTAGGGGGCCCCAAACGACCTCACCACCCCCTTGCTGCTGCTATTGTGGTAGGCAGCAGCAGCAGCTTTAATTTAGTTCAACTTAAACTCAATTTAGTATAATTCAGTTTAATTTTATTTTATTTTATTAAGGGAGAAGACAAACAACAACATGCGCTGCAGCCAGATAAATAATGCTGGTGCTGCCGGTAGCCGCCGCCTAATAAAATAAACATCGAAGTGCTGCTGCTGCTGCCGCCGCTGCTGCTGCAGTTGAAGTTGTCTTTGTGCCGAGTCTTCTGCAGTTGCCGCTTCTGCTGGTGCTGCTGCTGGTGTTGTTGGAGTTGCCGGTACTGCCTCTGTTCCTTCTGCTGCTTGCTTTCGTCCCTCACTTGCTCTTGCTGCTGTTACTCCCGTTGCTGCTATTGGTCCTGTTGCTGGTGTTTCTCTGTTCGTGTTGCTGTAGTTGCTGCTGTGGATGCTGCATGTCTTGCGGTGTAGCTAGGTTGGCGCTATAAATGTAAAAGTGCTGCATCTGCTACGCTGCTATTGGTGCTTCTGTTGTGATGCTACAGGTGTTAGACTCTGTGTGTTGCTGCTGCTGCTGCTTCTGCTGAAATGCAGCAGGGGATATACAAATTGTATATGCTAGCCGCACACATACTGAAGCTTTAAATTGTTAGCCGTATAAATGGCGTCGGCGATATGCTGAGCAGCAGCTGCTGCTAATGATGATGATTAGTGTTCGGTAGAGGAAACAGCAGTCTAATTCGTGCATATACACCGCATGGAAAAGCTGCAACAGCAGCACTGCTGCTTCTGTAGCTTTGCTGCCGCTCCATCCACATAGTCTCCCAGATACGTGTAGCTGCTGCTGCTATGCAGCTGCTGCTGCTATGCAGCTGCAGATGCTTGGCCTGAGCTGCCCACTACGAAGGGGTTATTGGGGTTTATTAAGGTTTGCCGAGGTGCAGTATGGTTTAGTATGGTTTATTAGGGTTTATGCCGCAGCAGCATCTAACAGCAGCTGTCGATACTTAGAGTTTGCTGCCTGCAGCAAATCCTCTCTGCTGCCTTCCTCTACTAGACGGCCGTCTTCTATGACAGCAATACGATCTGCTTCCCTTAGGCTCTGCACCAAACACAAACACTAGATCCCAAACCATAAACCCTTTAAACCCACGACCATAAACTCTCTAATAGACCCTCTAGATCAAAAGCCCTAATCCATTTAGACGAAAGACTCGAAACCCCCTAAATCATGTAAACCTTCTAAACCCCAAACCCTCTAGTCCCTAAACCCTTACGGAGAGTTTATGTGCGATAGTGATGACGGTGGTTTTGCCTTTGAGCCTTCTTAAAGTCTCTGCTAGCGCTGCTTCGCTCTCTGCATCGAGACTACTCGATGCTTCGTCAAGAATTAAAAGACGAGGAGAACGCAACAAAGCCCTGCAGCAGCACGCAACAGTAAACCCTCATTAGGGTTTATGGGGTTTATGGCTAACTGGTCAACTGTACTACCAAATTCGCTACTGAACTCGGAATCCAAGACTAACAAGCTAGCTAGCAAGGTACGTGGTTGCTTGGCTAGCAAGCTAGCTAGCTGTCTAGGTGTTTTACCTGGCAATAGCAATCCTCTGTATCTGACCCCCTGATAGGCGTGCTGCTCCATCGCCACAAAGAGTAAAGACACCATGAGGTAAGCGCGATATAAAAGGCAGCGCATTTGCTGCTGCTGCTGCTGCCACAACTTCCTCTAGTAAACCACGAGGCCATGCTGCTGCATCAGGATGCAGCATCGTACGAGCCAACTCGGATTCATAGGAAGCCTCTCTTGTACGCTGTTGCTGCTGCTGCTCATACTGCAGCAGCTGCTGCTGTTGAAGCTGCTGCTGCTGCTGCTTGGCCTCAGCATGTTCAATCCATGAATCTGTATTGGATTGGATTTGCCTTAATCCATAGGCAATATTATCTGCAATACTTCTTTTAAAGAGAAGAGGTTGTTGTTCAACAAATGCGATTTGCTTACGAAGAAATAGTGAATCTAAATCACGAATGTTTAAACCATCCAAGTATACGCCACCTCCCTATACACAACAACACATACACAACAATTACGCCTCCTCTTATTGCACATGCTGCTGCTGCTGCTGTATGCTGCTCCTTCAGATCACGCTGCTCATGCTTCTAGTGCGGTCCATGCCGTTCACCCTGCTCATGCTGCTGCTGCTCATTCTACTACTGGTACAACTGCGGCAGCGGGTGCTGCTACCCCTATTCCTACTACTACTGGTACCGCTGATGCTGCTGCTGTCGCCGCCTCTCATTCACCTGTGGGTCATAGAAGCGTTGGGCGAGTTTAACAATGGTAGATTTGCCTGCACCTGAGGGCCCCACCAATGCCAATACTTCTCCTGGGCGCACGCGCAAAGAGAGGCCCTTCAGTATCTGCAGCAGGAGCAGCAGCAACAGCAACGACAACCGAAAAGTGTGCCTCTCCCCGTCGAGGTGCGCTGAATGCGCTGTCACTACCCTTCCCACGAGGCAGCGAACCCTTCTTCTCGCAACCCACCGCAGCAGCATTCGCAGAAGCAACAACTGCAGCAGCAACAGCATCAGCAACAGCAGCGACAACAGCAGCAGCAACGCCTCACCCACTGATGGTTATTGGGAGCCCCTTTTTGTGCAGTATCTGCCCCGGTATCATAAGCAAATTGTACGTCTCTAAACTCAAGACTGGCTGGCTCTAGTCTCCCTTCCTTGCCAAACAACTCTCCCCCCTGGTGTATGGGGCCCCTTAGGAGAGAGCCCCCCTGAAGGGATCCAGCTTGAGAAGGGGCCCCATGTGGGCCCCTTCCTTGGGCGTCTACAGCCTTTGGATCCAAGCAGCTAGCAGCCGCCTGGGACCCGAAAGGGGTCCTAAGGGCCCCGAGAGCTCCGAGGGTCTCAGGGGGTCCCTGTTTGTTTTGTGGGGTTTGGATATTAGGGTTTCTATCGATAAGCTCGAAGTATCTCTCGGAGGCAACCAGAGAATAATGCATGTCTTTATAAATGTCTGTTAATGCATCTAAGGCAAGATAAAATTTACGTAAATAACTCCTAAAAGACATAAACCGACCAATGGTCAGACCACCACGGACGACTGAACGCATGCCTGAACACACACACGCATGCACAAAAACACCGCAAAATGCCAAATTTTAGGCAAACGCTAAACCCTAAATCCCAAAACATAAACCCTAAAATCTCGGCACAAACAACGCGGATCCAGGGTTTGAACGCCCCCTGTTGCCGGTATGTTTGTGGTGCTTGCTAGTCGCATGCATGCATGCATGCATGCATGCGTGTGGCAACAGCAGACTTACCGAATGTAAGCAGCCCCAAATCAGTAGCTAGCAGCAGCAGCTGCTTTGCCTGCTTAAAGAAGGACTCTGCAATAATTCCCTTCTTCAAGACACGTAACGACGCGTCTTGGCATGCGTTGTAGCGCTGCACAGCATGCAAACAAATGCTCGCAAAGGCATACGGTGTTGTTAGGGGAACTCACTTAAACCGCTCAGTATCGCAATGGGCTGTGCATGCCATGCATGCATGCATGCATGCATACTTGCACGCACGCATGCTTGTACGGATGCTTGCATACATGATTGCATGCATGCATGTATCCAGGCATGCATGAATGCAGCTCCAAAGATGTGTACCTGAAGTTCCATGGACTCTGCACCATTAGCCTTTACTGTATTTACGTTAGCCAAGACCTCCGTGGCAATCGCAGATATATTCGCCAACAGATCGTTCTGTAGCAACCCTGCATGAAGCCCCAAGCATACATACATGCAGGCAGGCGGGCAGGCTTGGGTTCAGGATAAAGGTTTAGGGTTTACGGTTTGCGGTTAAGGGCTAAGGCTTGAAAGTTTATTGCCGACCTTTTACGGTCTACGGTCGAGGCCTGAGCCTTTAGGGTTAGGGCTTAGGGTTTACCTAGGTTCCCGATAGCTCTTGCTGCTCCCCCTGTGCCAACTAGGACGCAGGGGACGGCGAGCATCCCGAGCGTCGCCATTTGTGGTGACAGTCGAAACATTAAAAATGCCCCCACAGATGCATTTACAATGGCAGATAACAGCTGTTGAGCTCCACTTGTTACCACTTGCTGCATGCACGCAGCAGCAGCAACAGAAGCTGCACTAGCAGTAGTAGCGGCTCGGCCCCACATCCAAATGGGAGTAATGCAAACACCCTAAACCGTTGCTAAACCCTCGGCTTAAGGAGCTAAACGGTATAAACCCTCCTTGTGCAGCGTGTGATGAACAGGTGTTTGGGGATAAATGTTTGGCCGTCAACAGTAAGAAACACTAAACCCTAAACGCCAAACCCTCTTGCGGGTCCCAGGCCGCTAGCTCCGAGTTTGAGCCCCCAGGGTCTAGAGTTTAGGGTTAAGGGTCTAGGATTTTGGGTTTAGGATTTAATTCTTACCTGCATGTCTTCCGTGTCGTTAACGATACGGCTTGCGAGTGTTCCTGTGCTGTTGGCATCAAAAAAAGCGACTTCTTGGCTGCAGAGACACCGCACGACTCTTGCTGTTCTTGCTGCTCTTGTTGCTCTTTCTGCAGTCTGCGGTGTATAGGCAGCTATACGGGGCCCCACAGCAATAAGTAAACACTAACAACACGCAGATGCTTTAAATAATACAACAAAAACCCTCACAGCCAGGCAGCAACACTACCAAGCCAAGGCATGCATGCAAGCAGCAATGCATCCAAGTACATGCATGCAATTGCATGCATTCAAGTGCATGCATGCAAGCAGGAAGGTATGCACGCATGCATGCATGTGGGAAGACGGACCGCAGCAAGGAGGCAAACAGCCGCTTTTGCATCTCCACCACCAAACGCCAACGAGCGCACGAGAAGAGCGCGTCCTGTGCGCAAACCCTTAACCATAAACCCTAAACCCTAAACCCTAAACCCTAAACGCTGAGTCCCATGCATGCATGGAAAACCCCAAAAGAACCAAAGAAGGAAGCAGGTAAGGAAAAGAAGAGAAAAAGAAACGGAAAGAGAAGCAAATAGGGAGCAGAAAAGAGAATAGTTTTCTCTCTTACTCGAGTAACAGATCCTAAGACTTCAACAGCAGCAGCAGCAGCTGTCCGCAGGTCCAGCAGCAGCAGCGACTTCAACTTCTGGGGGCCCTCTAGAGGGGCCCCCTGGGTGGCCCCCGCTATTAAAAAAAGGTCGGAGGCACCCTGCAAGGGGCTGCTGCTGCCCTGGGGGCCCCCCTTTGCTGCTAAGGCAGCAGCATAATCAAATACCTGCCCTAACAAGTAAGAACGAGTAAACGATGCAGCAGCAACAAGTAACGACAGAAGCGCAGCAGGCAGCAGCAGCTGTGGAGACAGGGTATATCGCAGCTCCTTTAATAACCTGCAGCACGACCAGCACCAGCACAAGGAGCAGCAACGCATGCTTCAGCTACAACAACAGCATCAGCAACAACAGCAGCAGCATTATAAACGGCAGCAACACGAGCAGAATCTAGCACCCTACAGAGCGCCTAACCTGCATGCAGCAGCAGCATATGGCCGAGCATCATCAGCAGCACCACAACAACAACAGAAATAACAACTACTACAACTACAACTACAACTACAACTACAACTACAACTACAACAACAACTACTACAACAACAACAACAACAACAACAACAACAACAAACAACAACAACAACAACAACAAACAACAACAACAACAACAACAACAACAAACAACAACA